CAACAATGGTGTACTAAGGCTGAACCAAGTGATTCCTTGGTGCCTACTAGGCTTATACATAACTGCCCTAAAATACTGCTAAATGCTTCTCAGTTCACCCCACACCATAAACGTTTGCTTCAAAATTAAGATTCGTTCACACTGTCATGGTCTTTCCAAGCCCATATGACTTCCTTTCATCTGTGTATCAAAAAAAATATATTTATATTTGAAGATATTTTTGCTATACTATGAAAGAATATTGTATGGAAGCCTATTCCATCACAGAATTTAAAAAATATATATTAATTGCAAATTTTTCATCTCACAATTCTGAATTGTTTCTTACAATTTTGAGTCACAACTGTGAGATATAAACTCTGACTTACTATCTCGCAGTTATGCATTTGTATATCACAATTCCGACTTTTTTCCCCTCTCTGAATTCTGAGTTTACATCTCGCAATTCTTTGGAAGCCCATTTCCACCATGGAAAAAAAGTATTAATTAATAAAAGTAACTGCGACTTTTAATCTCACAATTATGACTATTTTCTCAATTCTGAGTTCATATTTCATCACTTTGATTTTTTTTTTGCAAGATATAAACTCAGAATTAGATATAAACGTAATTCTGAGAAGAAAAGTCAGAATTGTGAGATTAAGAAGTCACAATTACCTTTTTTTATTTTTATGGTGGAATTAAAAAAAAAAACATAATTGTGAGATGTAAACTCAGATTTCCGAGGGAAGAAAGTCGAGATATAAAAATTTGCGAGATATAAAAAATATATATTGTGAGATGTGAAAGTGCAACTGCATGAAAAATTTAGAATTCTGAGTTTATATCTTGCAATTCTACCTTTTTTTCAAAAAAAGTTTGAATCTCGCAACTACACTTTTGTTCTCTCCCTCAAAAACTATTTTTTCCTCTTTGTGATCAAATAAATACAGTCTTGGCTAGCATAAGAGACTTCTTTCAAATACATAAAAATAACTTAATTATTTTGACTGTGAGTGTATACGTTTGGAGCCTCTGATGCAGTTCAGTAGATGGTATCAGCATTTCATTTTGTTACTGCTCTTAAAATAGGTGCCATTAGTTACATTTATTATCATTTCAAACCCTTACCTTATGTTCCTGTCATCCCTTTCAGAGAATGGCAATCACAACATTGACAGCGTTGTTTATAAGTGGAACCCAGGCACTAAGACATTTGAGGTAAACCAAACCATCTCGACATCAGGAGCTTATGATTGGGAGTTTTTCACCGTTGGGCCCTACCACTTCCTAGCAGTGGCCAATGCATTTGATGGCACCTCCACCCAAACAGATTCATCCATCTACATCTGGCTTGGTGGAGCCTTTCAGCTTTATCAGACTATAAGGGTGAGTTTAGAAAGCATTTCATTTCAAAATGCCTGTGATGGACGCAAGATTCTGGAACTTTCTGATAGCTTAAAATCAAATGGATCATTCTGAAACTTGATGATCATTTAGAACTTGTTTACTTTGAATGGAAACACTGGTGTACATGAGGTACATTTCTCTCCTGAGTTGCACATTAAAAAATATATTACAGGTAAACAAAGTGGAAAATCATGACACACACATGAAAAAAGATGAATGATGGACTCATGTAGGTGTTTCCCAGTTGCAACGTTTTTTTTTTTTTTTAAATGTACCTGACACCTGTTCTCCCAGAATCACCTTGGGGCATCTGTAGTATAGCTGGGGTTGTTTAAGTATAGGGTGAACAGAAGCTTTAACCGCCGTAAAAGACCCTGAACCGCTACTAAAGAGAAATGCTGTTGTCACAAACTTTTCATTCTTCACTGCAAATGATTTCACTAAAAATATAATATATTTTTACTTAATCAAAAGGAAAAATTAGATATAGAAAATGTCTGTTCATGCGTACTGGGCTTAGAAAGGTGATTTCTGATAAATAACACTTACAGTAAAGGAACAATTCTTTTTTTCCATTAAACCTAGGAAAGCTTAGGCACATGTTGTTGTTGTTTTTAAATACAACTGAAGTGGATGGTAAAACTCCAAAATCGAAAAACTTCCAAGCCTTAAAATTAATAAAAGTAGTCTAAACGATTTGATGTTCAAATTGATAATATAAGTCACCATCCATTTTCTTTGTAATTGCAGCTTGGAAAAAT